CTCATGAAGTTGGCATAGTCATAATAAATGTTGAACAGAAAATGTTTAACCAAGCCTGAGAATAGCTGAAATGTTCCTAAAATCTATGGCAATTATATACATATATATTTATTAATTATAATATGTATTGAATACTTGCCATTCATATATGGTATCATAACAGCTCAAGTGATAAGTGAAATGGCCTCGATCTCTGGCTATATGCAAGAGGACTTAATTTCACTATAAGTATTACAAAATTCTAACATCTCTATTTCATATACCAAATTCGATTTCATGTCAGTCCCATAGTTTTACATATTATAACGGCAAACAGCTCGAAGGCAGCGTTGTTTGCCCTGATTGCGATTTGTGGACATTGGTCAAACGAAACTGATGTGCAAACAAATCAGAGGGGATCGATCATAGCAATGCTAGTCACTGCGGTTGCGCAGCGATTAGAGCATTTAGATTAAGTTGGTTTTGGTATTGGTTCGGTTTCTGGTATCGGCTTCAGCAACTGCCTGTGTGTGTAAACAATATGGAAGCTGATCATCATCATCATCCGTAGCAGCCTCTGAGATGGCATCAACCGCAAGTCGGCGTGAAGGGCAGTTTGGTAATTTTGTAAGCGCCACGAGGCTGAGAAGCAGCACTCAAACACTCATAAGTGAGTGCTGTGCTGTGCTGTGCAGTGAGTGTATGAATACTTGGCTAAGTGGCAATGAGACACAAACTTAATTGTTCAATATTTATTCATTTATTTATTACTTCTTCGCTGTGGTCTTTTATTCGGGTATTCAGGTGTATGTAGGTGTGTATGTGTGTAGGTGTGTGTGAGTGTGAATGTCAGTGCCATAAGTGACATAAGAACTGAATTGTTGCAGACAGATCGTATGGCATCGGGCTGTGCTGTGCTATATCCAGTACGTAATACTTTATACTTCATATAAGATATGCATACATACTTAACGCTAACTACTTAATTAAACAAACGCAACTATTGCGGCGCAACGGGCAGATGATCGCCCTCGGGCTGGAAGCCGTTCTCGTCGGCCACATAGCGCAGGGTGATGATGTTGCCCTCGGGATCGCTGTAGCTGTAGCTGCCGGTTTGGACCAGGACGAGCTCCTCGTGCTCATCGATTACCTGGCCGTCGCTGGTCTCCGTCTTGGGTATGATGATCTTCTTCAGATAGCCAACGTTCTCCACTCGGATGCCATTCGATGTCTCGTAACTGCATGGAGAGCGTAACTTAGCTTCGAGTCCTGGTGCACTTGGGATCGTCCCAGACTCACCTGCTGTTGAAGCTGCCATCGGCATTATTCACATTTTCCTGCTGGATGATGCTGGCCGGTGTGGTGGTTGTAGTGATCGAGCTAGCAGCGCGCGCATCCTGGGGACGGGCCAAGGCATAGGTCAACAGCAGAGCCGAGCACAAGACAGTCACGAATTTGTACATTCTGTTGAGTTCTGTTAGAATTGTCAGTAGGGGGTTATCCAATTGCAGAGAGTTGATGCACAACTGTTGACTACCCAGCCGCCGCTTGGCCTTTATATACCATCTCGTTGACGAGGGCGAGCACCTGATTCGCACTCGCACTCGCACTCGCACGCACCGCGCCAGCTTCGGTTGCCGCTGCTAACGATTACGATGGGCGCACTAGATAAGCAGCAGAGAGCGTCAAGTACTCGTGCTCGTACTTCACCATAAAAAAACAAATTATGAGCGGGCGCTTCTTCGTCTCATTCCGACTGAATACCCTGCAGTCTAACGAAGAGGTATATAGTGTAAGAGAAGTATTCTAATAGTCTAATAAAGTTTAGTTTTGAGCTAGTCAATTATAGACATAACAAGTATTTTACAGGATATTTGACTGCCCTGCTACATTTACTAACAAATATTATTTGAATATTAGTCAGCTAATATTTCATTTAAAATTTAAGCATATTTTATTTTTTAGCCTGCTTACAGGGTATTTTGCAGTCGTTCACTATCAACTCAAGTACATTGTTTTGTTTTGTTTTGGTGTGGCCATCGTTTGAGGTTTTTATATTGTCCATTTCGCGCGTCCGATGAGGCCGATGAGTAAACACCGCGCGCGCACCGCCAAAGAGATGTTGATGAAACGACGATGTCAGCGGGTGATACCCGAAGCTGTATGCTACGACAGCTGAGCTGTGACATGTCTCTGTTCGCTGTCTCTGCGATGATGTTGATGGCATTGCCAGTCCGAGTTGGCAGCTACGTGATTTGCCTGCGCCGAATATAATTCTTGCTCAACTGCTGTAAGTTCCGTTGAAACATTGAGGATATGGGGGAAGTGCCAGCGGCGCTGGGAAGCCGCTTGTCCGCAAAGGAATTAAGCTAGTATAACAACGACTCTGATCAAGGCAACAGAGTTTCTTCACGGCGATTCTGATCAAAGGGTACGGTGTTTCGCTACGTTCCTTCACATAACTATTGGATCAAATCAAATGCTCATTTAGGCAAATGGCAAAAGTTAGACTTGATTGTCATGCCAGGCACGTTGCGATTATGGAAACAATTTGCCGCAGACATTAGAGCACTCATAAATACGCATACGGGCTAACGGTGATCGCAGGCAAGGCGGCTATAAAAAATGTAGAGTACGCGTATTATAAATGATAAACTTGCCTATTTCGTATACGCAGTGAATACCAATAATGGGTCAATGAACCTGAACTGTGACCAGAACGACAGAATTAAGGGAATTTAGTAACGCGAGAGGAAGAGAGAGAGAGAGAGAGTCTCAGTTAGAAAAGTATTGTGTGAGCGAGAGAAAGGTATTATAAATATCTCTCTGTCACTCTCTTTCGGTCATAGAATCAATAAGAAAAGTAGTGAAACGGAGGACGTGAGAGAAACGTATTCTAAGTACATCTCTCACTTTCTCATTCTTCCTCTTTCTTGCTGTCTTTTCAGCACAGACCAGATTCGATGTATTCAACTTAACAGCTGCTTGCTAAACCAATAAATTCATTCCGAATTAACACTTTCGTTTTCCGTTTTGGGATTATATAACATTCAGTCGAAATATAGAATTCTCGGTAGCAGACAAAGTATTTTCTGATATATAAGAAATTGTCTAGACAAACAATTGCCCCCACACACTCGCTTTAACTAATAGGCGTTGTCTTCGGCCCGCTGCCAGCATCGCGAATTTGCCAATTAGAACTTAATTACGAAGAGTTTAACAAGTCGAAGCTTTGCAGCTGTTGCCAACTGCAGAATTGCAATCGAGCAAAGCTGCTAAACGAGGCAAATTGAACACATTCATATATCGCAGAGTTCACGCCTAACAAACAGACGGATCGACCAAGTTTACAGATCCGAATCTCGTTGAACATTTTTGGGCGGGGCACCCCAGGCAGCGAGTCGGAAAGGCAGAGAATGCGCCAAAAAGTTACGCAACTGCCGCAAAAGTCAAGAATTTAATCATGCAAAACATGTTTACATATTTGAATACCATTTCGCATTGGCGAGAAAGTAATCAACGTGCGTGAAAAGAAAACTAAAATTCTTTCCCTATATCTGTTGAAAACTATTTTGAGAATAATTTTGCTAAATCTTGATATGACTCAAAGGAAACTTTTCGTATTTTTTTCAATTTGCTAGTTTTGTGTATATTTTATAACTTTAACTTGACTCGTTCAGTTCTTTTGGTTCACAGTTGGTGTTGACTTCACATTTAAGATCACATATATATGCTGGGTGCGATAGTCCGTGGGCTAAAGCTGTTTCTCGCTGGGCTGGTAGGGATGCTCGGCTAGGTATTTGAGGGTTTTCAGCACCGACTCGGGCGTGGGTGGCGGTGTGGGCAAATGATTGCCAACTGGCCGATAGCCGTTCTCATCGGCTGTATAACTAATGGCGTATTCCTTGCCATCGTCGCCAGGGAACGAAAAATATCCTTTGACCGCTTCGCCGTACTGATCCTCTCCGATCTTTTTCAATTCGCCGTTTTGTATGGCTTTTGAGCCGTCGAGCAGCTCGTATCTTTTGAATGGAACACGTTAAATCTTATCGCACGCCAATATCGAAACCTAAACGTTTCAGACTTACTGGTAGTAGAATTTGCCATTGTATTCCACATTCGACTTGTTCGTGATAAAATCAACTTGATCTTCGGCACACGTCACGGCCACCAATAGAGCGCAAATTAAGATTAGTTTCATTTTCTGTTTGTTTTGGATTGTTTTGTTTTCGATATTCCAGAATTAATATCCACGCTGTGCAAATGTCTCGGGCCGACTGACATTTGCCTTGCTAAACAAACAGACTTTTATAGTGGGATTGCGATAGACAACACAGACAAGATTCATGAAATTCTCGTACTCTCAGCTATTTAACATATAATTAAAGCTGCAGCAATAAATAATATTGAACCCGTTTGGTTTCTTGCTGGCCTTTTTCAGAATGAGTGTGAAATTTGGTGCAGACGCGCGGCGCTAGCCAAACTGACGATGGGTCTGACCTCTAAGGACTAGTATACCCTGTAAAATATATAGAAACGATTTCTCTATTGTAAAATTTATGATAGTTCATTTTCATGCATGTATACGAGGCATCGCTTATCCTGAGGCCTTCTGAAAGAGTGTGTGCACTTCGGCTTTTTCAAGATTATATGCACATCTGGCTATATAGTAGCTATCATCGGCGTCAGCATCGGATTCTGGTTCTTTTTGGAACTAACTTGACCACATTTTTAGCCAGAATTAATATCCAATTCTATATATATATATAGTATATATATAAACAGCCTGGCCAAAAATATTCAATAAATTTGCATACAACAAATTTGTCCGAGTTACCTTGAAATCGAAAAAAAAAAACAAATAGTTTTTAAATGCTATTTTTAAAAATATATTCTAAAGCAAGTGCTTTACTTAAAATGATTGAAAACCCCATAAAAGACAAGATTAATTAGGTGATATGTCAGAGGTATTAGGTTTCCGGCTTCAGAGTTTTATTCCCATAAAAGAAAAACCAGTTAAATTTTGTTGTTTTTTCAAAGAATCTTTAATTCTTTATTTGCAGCTAAGGCTAAAGATATTTGAGTTTCGTCTCATATAAGTATGCTTACATCATTTGACATGTACAAAAAACCAACAATTCATATATATACATGCATATATATATGCACAAGTATCTGTATAAGTAAGTATATCTTCGTCATCCATATCGCTTATACTCGTATTAACATACATGCAAAAGATTATAGTTATATAGACTATTTACACAAGAATTGCTGTGCACAATAATTGGATCGTTCTTGATCGTTCACGTTATATTTTTTTTTTTTTACATTTTCTTCTTGATTTCATTAGTAAATCGATGATATCACATGAGTCCGAAAATGGCAAAGTTCCGGCGACTAAAAGATCTTAAGCACAGTATAAGTTTGAAGACGAAAAAGAATTGCAGAAATCGGATAAGGTAGGGAGAAAAAGTTTAAAAATCAAAACAAAAATATATAACATATTTGGGTAATTGAGTATATATGTGTGTGGCTGTGTGAGTATGTGTGTGTGTGCAGGTTGTGTTCTTCAGTCAGCTGCTCGATGTTGGTGTTCGCTTTAAGGTATTGATTGATAATATACGGGTTAGCAGCAAATTGCTTCATTGGGTGTAGAGTATCAGAGTAACGCTAGCCAGGTCAATTTTTCACTAAATAAACTCCATCTTCATCTTAACGACGACGCTGAGCTGGGGGCAGGCTGAGCAGATAGTCGAGCGCCTTTTGGATCGCTGGCGGGATTGGAGGAGGAGTGGGCAAATGTGCGCCCTGTGGCTGGAAACCATTCTCATCATCGGCCGCATAGTTGAGAGTGATCAGCTCGCCCTCGGGTGAGGTGTAGGACACGGAGCCCTTGACAATGATTACATCCGTGGAGTCCGGCGATGTGGCCTTCTTGACGGTTCCAGTTTCCTCAGCCTTGATTCCATTAGCCGTCTCGTAGCTGAAATGTTTCAGAAATTCGTTAGTTTTGTTCTCGTTTGTATCGTTAATTTTTTAGCAATTGCAATATGAACCTAATTGACCTTGAAAGCTGTGAAAAATTTAAATGAATACTCTAGCCTGAAGTATTATAATTTGATAGCTAAACAAGTAATGCAAGCGAATCAAATTTTTAGGTCAACAACGTATTTCCATTCATCTGCCTACGAAACTGGTCTCTGACCACACTGCCAATGATTAATCAGACCGGTAAAAGATCAACTGTTTGTTATTTAACTTAATCTATAGAGAGCTAAGACTAATTTATTTCATTATTGAAAGAGTATTAATTCTGCGTTCTTCTTTCAAATTTGTTTTGTCTTTTTTTATGGCACTATTCATTTGTATCCGAGGCGCCAGTCTAGCTGTTTATTTATTTATGTTGTTATTAACATTTAACTTGTTAGCCGATGCAAATGTTTCTGTTTATAAATTTATAACAAATTTACATATATATATATTTTTTAAATCTATTTATGATTGGATTAGTTTGGAGAACCAAAAACTGAAACGACCTAAATGATGCTTTAATTTAGGTATTAACAACATAAATATTATTATTTATCATAAATTAGTTATAGAAATAAGCTCACAAAGGGGTTACTGGAGTACTTCGTATGGCTTTAATAAACATTATTAAATATAAAAGTTATAGAAATTTTAAATCGAAGAATTATTGACTTTTTAAACTTTTATGAACTATGGTAGCTTTAATGAAAAATAAAAAAAAAATACTTGCATAAGATTAATTATTCTCGATAGTTTGCTGAATTTTGCTTATCTAAGATTCCTGCAAAATAATCTCCTAAACTGTGCCTATAACTACAGCGCTGTTATATATAAATAATGCCTAAAAGTAGGCAACACTTTTTACAATACATAGCTAGTTCCGTTGGCGAACATAACTGGTTCAATTCTCTATTATTCATTGGGTTTGAGCTGTTTGTTCTTTACTTACGCATAATTGTAGGCACCATCCGGCTCGATATTGGATTCTTGGCTAATAATCGCAATGGGCTCACCACCCTGGGGCTTTGGTGCTGCATTCACCAGGCAGAGCAAAGCAGCAGCGGACAGGCAAAGGGCAAACTGCAAATGGGTTAAGAACGAAACGGAAATTAATTCAATTCGAGTTAATTGTAAATTGGCAATTGTTTATAAATAACGAGCGCAATTACACTAGACTCGGTTTGAGCAAAAATCGTGAGCTGTTGTTTTTTTTTCTCCACTTTTTCGTCTGCTTTTTTTGTTGCTTTTTTTGTCTTATGTAAATTTTTGTGTTATTTTTTTACTTGTGTTGAAACCTGGCTCATCGTTTCGCATAGTTGTTTGATTTATGACTCTTGTTTACATTGTTCTCACTTATAATAATGTTTACAGCCAGATAGACCCGGTCGGAGTGTCGAGCGGATAGACATATGTCAATTTGCCACAGATTTCTTAAGGTCGACCAATAACTAGACGCCAATTAAATTTTGTACACATAAAATTTTCAGTTTACGTATGTGTTTAAAGTAATTATCGCACGAATGTATAGAAAATTGTGGGGCGTGGAGATTGGAGATGAGATTGAATGAGTCGTGCGTGAAAAAAAAAAAACAAATGGATAGACTAATACAAATTTAAAGGCAATTCATCTTAATGTTAGAAATCTGCTGAAAGAAGTGCTGCTCGCTCATCCTCTCCCTCTTCTACCCTAGTTGAGTGCTTATATGTTATACGCTCGTGTTGCAACTAAGCCTAAAGGCGGTGAATCTGTCGGTCTGTCCTACTTAAAGTACAGTCTGGGCTCTGTTCGCTTAGCCAATTGCCAATGGACGAGTAAGTTACGTGTTTTATGTTTCACTTTAGTTTGCGCTCTTGGCCAGATAGACAGCTGCCAACTGAGCGTAACATTCGTCGCCAGCAGTTTGTTAACCAAATGTCTTACAGCCTCAGCTACAGTCCCAGCCCATGCCCCAGCATCAGCGTCAGCGTCAGCCTCAGTCTCAGCCTCTGCTTGTCCAGTCGCACAGTTGGTGTGGATGTTTAGCTGTTGTCTGACCTTTGCATTGCATGCCGGCTGCATGTTATTTGGCTTGGTTTGGCATCGTGCTCGAGCCTTTTAAGTGGTTGCCTCGTCTCCGGCATTCATTAATTGCTGTTGCCATTTCGGCCGGGCTTGCCAGCGACTTTTGCCCATTTACTAGCCAAATGGCTATAACAATTGGTAAATAAACCAACGCGGAAACAACACTTTAAACTGTGGCGCTGTGGCCTTCTGCCACAAGTTGTTTTTATGTATTTTTTGGGCTTTTAATTTGTATGCTGATTGATTTACGACTGTGTTGTAAATGCCAATTTTACGCACTTAAGGGTCTCCCTTATTTTTGCTTATTTCGAAATCCGAAATTTGTTGGGTCTGATTAGCAGATTGGCAGAAGATTTGTCTGTTAGTGGCTAGCACTTTTGTACAATTGTATAAGTGCTCTATTGCATTATATTTTATTTGTTATTCGACGTATTACAAATTTCTCAGCTAACAAGTTTGTTGCCTAAGTCTTTTGATTTTCAAGTAACTCATTGTAAGAAAGAAATTGACTAGAATGAATAGATGAATAAGTGCGCATAATAATTATTATATAGTTAGTCTGGCTGCTCGACTAGCATATAGGCTAAGCTAAATATAGTTTTGAAGCTCGCACAGTTGATATAACATATATGTTATAGTAAATATACATCCCGTGATTTCCTTGGGAATAATTATAATCTGTGTAATTATCCGGCTTCCGAACGATGCAAATATTTTCAACACTTAAATTCATTTCAAATTGGATTTTCAAATTATTTTTACTATTTTTTTCCCCACAAAAGGATATTTTATATTTGATAGTTAAAGGACTCTATATGATGATTTATGATCATCAAACTAAAGTCACACTTTTTGTACACAAATATAGACGGAGTTTATATGATTTTTGATATTCATTTGAAATGCTCCTTTATGTTCCCTCGCTCACTTACGTTCTTCATGTTGTGTTATGTGATTCGGTAATGTAATCCAAAGTTGGGCTTATCCTTTTCAGCGATCGGCACACCACACTTCACACTTGTTGTTAATTGAACAAAAGATTTTTTAATGATGCCCAAGTGCCGGCAGCTGAGTCTATTTATACGAAAAGCCCAAAGACGACGCCGATGACTGCGACGAAGCTGCAAATTCAGCGGGCAAAGCATCGCACATGCAAGATGCAAAAAAAAAAAAAAAAAAAGAAAAAAAAAAATATATATATATATAAACTAAAGTAAAGATTCGTCGTAGTTGTTGGTGCTGCCAGCGCTAGCGTCGCAGTCGAAGCTGGCGTTGTTTGAAAAGAGCAGCCGCAGCAGCTGCATTCGGCAACGACAACGACAACGACAACATTTGCGCTGGAAAATCGCAAGCGCAGCACAGGTGAGTGAAAACCGCTGGGGCCGCCGGCGAACCCCCTGGGCATACGCCTCTGGCCTGTCCGACTCAGCTGTTCTGTGCAATTGAGAACCAAATGCAAAACATTTTTTATGCAATTGCGTATAAATGATTTTGCATTGATTTCCACTAGTCAGAGCAGCTACAGTTACATCAGCAGCACGCCCTTTGGTCAGCGTCATAGTAAGCAAATAGCAAATAGCTGCTACAGAGATATATGAGATATCAACAGGTATGTGAGCTCGTTTGTCAACGGCAGGTGCATCAAACAGTGGCGGAAACTATAAAACAGCTCACTAATCGACGACATCGCCCTCGCGGCATTGTTAGTTTGCCTAGAGCAGGCTGCAGAGCTTAAACTTAGGTTGTTTTTTTTTTTTTTTTTCCTTGGTTTAGTTTGGGTAAGCGAAAAAATTGCATTTCAATACGTGGCTAATAATCGGCGAATACAATCAAAGTCAGGCAGCGTCGACAGCGCATGTGCACAGTGGGATTAATAATAGTATTTGGCGCATAAAATGAGATTGAGAATGGGCAAAACATAAATTACAATTAATAATTAATAAATAATAATTAAATTATGATAAAAGTTTCACAAAATTAGATAAAGCCTACATGAATTGCAAAGATCAAATGCTCCCCAGATCTCAACTTTCGAATTGGCATAACTAGTTTAATTTTAGGCAAAACTAATTTAGTTTCCGGATCTGAATCACTTTAGGTTCAAAACAGGTTTGCAGTCTTCCATAAACACCTAAGTCTTGGGCTCAGTTAAAAAAGAATTTAAAATATTATAGCTGCCATATAATATAAATGGTTTATTAAAGAACAAAGAACATTTTTTATTTTAATAATTAACTTAATGGAATTCAATTAGCATGCTTTGTTTTGTAAGTTTTGCTAGCATCATGCGAACTATTTCCTTTACATTAGTTTTCGATCTTAGATCACGGTGCGCCCAAATTTGAGCTCAGGGCATGTCGTTGGTCTGTCTTGGTACACGTCTGTATCCATTGTGCTGGGGTCAAAATGTCAAAAATTGCTAAACGCGAAGAGCCGACAACGAACGCTGACGACGCCGCCGTCGACGTCGCTGCTGCTGCTGTTGCTGCCAAAGTGTAGGCGCGTCTAATGAATAGCTTGGGTCGACTTGGCGCTGGGGCAGGCAGATGGGGACACAAGCGCAGACGGCGACAGAATTTCGTGACAAGATTGTCCCAAAGATTGTTGCCATATTGTATTCCAAGTAGTGTTTGTTGCTATTGCTGTGCTCAGACCGTGGCAATCAGCAAAACAATTGCCAGTTAGTGGAAGCTTTGAAAAAGTTGCTGCCTTCTAGTTTTTGGGGCCTGGTCTATTGTTATTGCCCGTTGAGTAGTGTTAGGCAGCGCTTTATAATTATGAAGACATTCAACTGCATTAATTTTAATATTTATTATGGTCTTTTTTAATGGGTTTATTGTGAATTACGCAATAGCAACATCTTTCCATTTAGCGTAAAAAGATTCTCAGCTAGCAAGTTCGTTGCCTAAGTCTTTTGATTTAAAAAAAAAAACAACAACTTGTTTAATACTTTAAAGTGTATATTTTTTGGCAAATATAAACCTTGAATTATTACGCATGGCTTCTCTAATTAGGTATTCAAGCAGCAATTGCTGCAATATGTCAGTTGGCCGGCTGGCCATAAAGCCTAGAACATATGCCTCATCTCCAGCTGCAACCGCAGCTCCATCTTCAGCCACTGACTTTGACACGCGCTGTGCAGCGCTTTATGGCTACGTCTGGTTGGCCTTGAAGGTCGTGTCGTCTTTTTTTATGGAGTCAAATGCAATTTGTTATAGCTCTTAGTGCCACTGCTCGCACCCCGCTGTGGCTTCGAAAAATTATTACAACTATTGATAATCCATTGCGTAAGAGTCCCAAAGTGGCGTGGCTCGACTTCGTCTAGACCTAAACGGCTGGACATGGCCGGCATAGTTTTTGGCGCCCATCTCTGGCCGCTTGGCAGCAGCCGCCGCCGCAGCAGCAGCAGCAGCAGCAGCCATGCTAATGCTAATGTCAATGCAGGCATAAATAAATAATTGCAAATAGCAGATGCCGTGTCAGCAGTCGAACCAGTTGCTGTGCTTAAATGTCAGTGGTTTTGGTCATGTCGAGAATCTCCGGCTACTGCTAGCCGAGCTGAGTTGAGTTAGGTTCTGCTCTGATCTGGTACAACTAAGCAGAGCAGTCGAGCTACATATAATAAACACTGGGAATAATTCATGGTCAAGGAGTTAGGCCTAGCTCCATGCGCTGGTCAGCTCGAATTGCAGCTGTAATTGCCTCAATGAAAGATATTGAACTTGTAGGTGATATCGCTCTAGAACAGATTGGCTCTTACTTATGCTAAACTATGCACAGATTGCACTTTGGGCTGGCATTAAGCAAAGCCCGCCTCGTATTCTTCGTATTGATGTTAATCCGTCTGTGCATCTTTGGCTGGTACGCTGAAGGCGAAGGTGAGTCTCCGTTATGCAAATCAACTCATAAATGTTATATGTCAGTGGAACTCACAGCGTGTCGAGTGGGCGTCGAGTGTGTGGGAGGAATACTTAATGGCAATTAGTGTTAATTATACAGAATATCAAATATATCAACAGCAGAGCTGGCTCGCATTTCGATTTGTAGGCAATACAATCTTATTATGTATATTGAATTGAAATTAGAATTTGTTATTCAAATAGAGAAACTCGATGCTCAATATCAATTAAATAAAAAATATGTGTTAGGTCTTATGCTTGAAATTGGGACAGTTTTAAGGTTTTTCATTTTAATAATATATAAAGTATTACTTAATTAATATTTAAATTACTTGTGGCTCGTTTAGTTCCTCATATTGATTAAATATTCAATATTGGAGTCAATGGGAATCTCTATTATAATTACCCGTGAGTAAGTTGGGTCTATAGTATTCGAGTTTTATTTAGCTACTGTGCTGTGCTGTGCTATGGTGCTGTAATCTCAGCTATTGTTGCACACAATTTGACTTGGTTGAAATTCTGTCAAGCCGCACGCGAAATGTGAAGGCCAAAAGCGCAATGGCTAGTGCCACCCGCACCCCTCCTCTGAATTCTCATCAAGTCGTTTGTGGCATAGAACTCAGACATATATGGGGATTTTATAACTTACAAAACAATTCGTAATATGCCCAATCAAATTTTATTCAAATTTAAAGAGGAAAAATAAAAAAATTTACATATTAAAAGAATATATTATAATTAAATTTTTTAATATTAAAATGGATTTGTCATTCATTCTTTAAGATGGAAAATTAATATTTAATTTATTTACATTTCTGCTTAATAAGGTTGAAGAATTATTGAATATGTGAACAAAAAACTGAATACAAATTTAATTACACTTAAATAAAAAATCACAATATACATAATAATTCAATAAAATAATACTTTAGCATTTTCTTTACACAAGCGAATCATTGCTGATGCTGTCGAACGAGTTGTTTAAATGTCAGTGGCTTGGGTCACAGCAAGAATCTTCAGCTACTGCAGAATAGAACTAAGCACAGCTTCAAGAACGAGTCCCAGTCGAGGCTGTCATGGTCAAGGGACGGTTTCTAGTGCGGATATAAGTGTATCAACTGCATATCAAGATGGCCCTGAGATGGTAATTGATGCTAATCCGTCTTCTTGCATCTCGAGATGCAGCGCCAGGGGCGAATGCAATTTTTTTAATCTTAAATAATGTGATTTTAATGCAAATTGATTGAAATGTCAGGGCAGCTGTTTAAAGACCGATCAAACAACATTTGGTCTGTAATAGTCTAAGAGTCGAATATTTTATATATTTTGCATATGTCTTATAAAGTGTAGAAACTAAATGGAACTTCTGGTTTCAACAAGAAGAACTCTGCGTATAACCGTAAAAAATCGATATGTTATGTTCATCATCTAGAGAATTGAGATAACTTTTAGTATTATTCAAGATCTTATGCTGTCAACAACTTACACTCGTGAATGTTTCCATTGATATAATAATGACTCCTTTTGCTGAGAGCTCTGCTGGCCTCTGCGCTCGTTGCATGATGAGGAGCAGATGCTTCTGGTAGGTAGACGAGCCGTTATACCAATTCTGCGTGTAGGCAGCCACGGCAACGTGCTCACTCTGTAAAAGGAGAAACAATCATAATAAATAACATAGAACATAAGTGAGTGGACCTACGACATCAATTAGTAGCTGGCCATAGTAGCACACCATATAGAACTGAGCAGAAATGCTGATGAAGAACAGAAAGAAACCAATTCCCTCCCGAGTTATGCCCTGTAACAATGTGTAGAAGGCAATGCAGCAGAGTGTGATGGCCGTGCTAAATATATTATAGGCCAACAACATGCCGAATATATCATTGAGTTCTTTATGTAATCTAACATTAAGTAAATCTTTTATATATATATATATTCTGGTATATCATTTATCTGAACAACTCACATGAATAATAGCTGATGCTTGCGTACAATGCTGGCCAAAAATTCGCAATCCTTTGGCCCGTTTCGTTTGCTCGGACTGTAACTCTGCAATTGTCTGCCCAAGTGGTCAAAGTGCAAGCTCAGCTGGCCCGAGATGCACATCATCCAAATGTCTGTGCCCAGGCTGACATTCATAATGAAGAGCGAAAACACAATATCCACGCCCTGGCTGAACACATACCAAAGGGGAGTCATTGTCTTTATGCGCTCAATGGGATATGTACTTATATAGGCGAATTTGATCTCGCCGTGCGAGGTTGAGCGCTCATAGAGATACATTCCCACAGACTGTAAAATGGGGCTGGCCATAACGAAGAAGAACACGAAGTAGTAGTAATAGACGCCATAGCGGGCACTGCGTGGCCAGTAAAACTCATCGAGTCGGTAGGCTCGACGTTCCTCATTTTCGCTGGGATAGATCGAACGCATCTTTTCATTCAGCTTGCGCAGTCGTCGACGATGGTACATGAATATAATCAACTTGACATCGGCGTTGAGCACAAAGAAGTAGACTATTCCGAATCGCATGATGATGGTAGGATTCCCAGCCAGAGTATCCCATTCGATGGTGCGCAAGATCAGGTAGTAAAACATATACAATTGGCTGGCAAAGCCAAGAAACCAATAGATGCGCAGCAGGAAATCCTGCCATGTGGGCTTCGATGTGGCCAGAAAGTCGTAGCCAATCGACTTAAATATCAGATTAGGTACGTAAGTAAAATCATCGTAATTTCGCTGGACTTCTGATTCCACGTTTCTCATTTCAGGACATTCACTATGTGACTAATCAGTGCTGGCTTCACTTGGTTTTTTTATAATAGGCGCACTGCCAGGTGTTTAATTATCCGACGTGCTATTCAAATCAATATTTAATGTTTTGTTTAATATTTTATAGTTATGAAATACTAAATTGGCCATTATAAATTCCAAATATAATTATGAACTAATTACTAAATTATTTTACTCAATTATTTTTGTCGCTAAAATAATGGTAGCACATTATCAGGCTATATATCCAAAATGTAGACAAGTTGATTGTAGTTTTAATTTTCTAAGTAGAAATCGATGTTCATTCAGTTATCTGAATCAAGTTTAAAATTGCATAAATTTATTCGATTCGGATCATTCATATACATATGTATTAAGATAAAGCGCATCTGCCTCATTCAAAGAGTCGCCTAATTCGAATTTATAGAATGCATAATTATTCAATGAATATTCAGAGATGACTCTAAAAATCATAAATAAATCCCAGCCAATTAATTAAAAAAAATATTTCAACGACTCATTTATGTAAATGGGCTAATAAAACTCTTTGTTTGTTTTGGCGAAAGCATTGGCTAATCTGTTTAACACATTCCGCCTTGCCCACAAATCGAGTTTCGAATAACTACCATAAAATTACCAAAATCTTGACAAATGGTGATCACATAGATTTAGATACGCAACGATACGCGCGTCATATGTGAAATAAAATCGCTTCCTATCTGATTTAAGATTGATTTTCGAATTTATAGTCTTTGATATGCATAGCTGGAAGGAGTATTATTTTGCTTATATTTGTCTCCGCATTGACGAGTTTCTGCTTCTGGGTCGCGCGATGCATCATCATCTCAGTATCTCAGCATCTGAGAGCTTAGAGCTGTTGCAATTGCTGTGCCACCTATTGTTGCAGCCTCATGCAAAATGTGAAGGCCACTGCAGTGGCAACACGAGCTGCGCTCCCCTCCACTTGCCCCTTCACTTTGCCGCTATTCATTCATTCAGTAACCAACTCATTCATTGAGTGCTATGTTCATGGCAATTTAAAGGCATTCATTAGTAATTTATCAATGTAATTTGCTTTAATCTCGCTTATGATATCAGCTACAGTAGTTAATTTGGCATTCAGTTCAAATTGAAACATCTTCATTTGGGAATGTTTAAATGTTTAAAATTAGGTGTTTCGTCCGATTGTTGTAGAGATATTTCATTTCGAATATCGTTAAGCATTGTGCATGTGTCTCTTCTCTTTCTCAAGTCTCTTGTTCATTTAATGACAATTAATGGGAGGAAGTTGTTTGCTTTCTTATAAAGTCTACAGTTTTGAAAATGCTTCATCAAAGAAGAATCTTGATTTGAGAAAGAGACTTGCGGAAAGAAAGGTATAGCCAGCCAGAGGGAGAAAACAGCTAGAGAATAACAAAATAAATTGTCGATATATGAGAGACAAAGTTATTTAGCAAAAATCTAATTCTCGATTAGTGGGAAACAAATTTGTATGTACATGTATAATCTTAATGTTACGGAACTTCTAAGTCAGATTCAGGTTGTCTTTGTACTATAAAGTTGACAATGTATCGAATCAAATGCGGATTCATCCATTCAAATATTTTGTATTGGCTAAATATGAGCCATATTTTATAGCCTTTATTATTATAATCATATTTGTATAAATATTATATTTTATTAAATATTTGACTGAAAATTCGCAATGCCAATTTACATTTTAATTAAGCTGCTTCTCAAATTTCGAATTATGAAATTTGAAATTTAATCAGAACGCTGCCTAATCAGTAGACTGTTTATATTTATATGCTAAAATTCGGATTCATTTTTACCTTTATTACCTTTACCCTGAGCCGCTGAATAACTTAGTCCCCCCCTTTGGCCATGCGATTTCTTTAGTTGCCTGCCGAAAGATTTGAATTTCTCGCGTGGCTCTGGCATCTGGTTTAACCAACCGATTTCCTGTGCGAGCGCCGATATGAAGCCAAACTGATCTTAATTTTTATATATTTACTTAAGCCAAGCTGTCAGAGCTGGTTTTTCAGATACCCTGCAAAGCTGGTATATAATACATTTATATAATATACATTAAATAACTTACATTAAAAAACTTTGTTTCTAGGCAGTCTTAACTAATTAATTTCTGCCTCAAATACAGGGTATGCGCTGATATAGCTTCTCAATTTAAATAACAATAAAATTCTAAGCGGAAATTAACAAGCCAAAAAATTAAGCCAATATTCACTTCAGCTGAGATTGGATTTGATTTGGCAATGCTCAGCGCTGAGCGTTGACCGAATATAATGATTTTATGGTCTGAAATTTGATGCTATTGGCAAACGGGGGCACACATTGTTATAAATGTTGCTGTCGAGCTCTTCTCCGTTACAGTTTGATTTTATAGATCAACGTCGAAGTAGCAGACCTTTAGTCGCATCCAACATGTCTTTGAAATTGGTAAATCAAGCTTCGACTCATCGAGTATCCAAAGTGTATAACTGGAAAGGGATTTAATAGTGTATATATATGTATATCCATTCTCATACAGACCTACTGCCTTTTTGTGTTGGCCCTCGTCTTGGTGGCCTGCAATGCACAACGTCAGTACAATCCGTTCCGGGATAATCCCCGGTACAGGGAGCTGTACTACAGGAACCGCGACCTGTACAACCAGCGACTCTACTACGACCAGTTCTTCAAGAAATACAATCCGTATATTGCCAGTGCTCAAGCACGCATCGTCGAGGAGTCGAATGAGCCCAACACTGGCGCTGGCTCCTATGCCTACAGCTACGAGACGGAGAATGGCATTCACGGAGAGGAGCGTGCCACGCCCGTCTACATTGGCAACGACCAGCAGGAGGAGCAAGTGGAAGGCGCCTACTCCTATATATCGCCAGAAGGTCTTCGTGTCGGTGTCAAATATTTGGCTGATGCCAACGGCTTCCGACCGGTTATTACCTGTGAGTACTTCGCTTTCAGTGCTAATGCATCAAATTATAAATTTGTTTGCTTTTCAGATGATGGTACAAATGCTGCCCTTTATGCTAACCAGCAGACGCCAGCTAACGTGGTCTACACAAGGCAGTAAAATATAAAACTTTTATAAAGTACATTTAATAAACAAAATACGTTTTCAACAACACAAAAAAGGGATTTATCATTGACTAAAAAGAAGAGAAAAGTTTTATATATGTTCTATATTAAAAGTCTTATATCTTCTCTTTTAACAAAAATCAAAATGATTTATATAGACGATTTAAAAATTTAAAAAAATAAACAGCATTCAGTTTTATATCCCTAGTTCCTATACTCAATAATATATTCCTTTATATATCTCAATTAATTTTATGTGTATCAAGTTTTTCTTGTCCAAAGTCTGTTTAAGCTTGTTCACAAGAATATATAACATATTTTAGCTCATGCTTTAACTAAGCACGATATATTCACTTTGTAGATAACTAAAGAAATATATTATATTACATAATCTATAAATTAACTTTAGTCATGTTGCTTAACTTTCAAATATATTCAGTTTGTATAAAAAACTATGCATAAATCTTATCCACGCCAACTTATTTCAGACAAAATGGCGACTGCGAGACGATTTTTTATTGGTCCGTTTTGAAATGAGGCAAGTGAATAAAATTTGCTAATATACTCTAGCATAGAGTATGTTGACTATGTCAAAGCCTGTAGAACATAATTAATTTCAAATTTCAAACTAGTTATGTTCTTTAACTTTTACAATAGTTATTAATTATAATTAATTAATGTCTAGTTGGTCTGGTACAGAAATAAGACATACCCTCATCTTGTACAAATGAAATAACTCCAAGAGCAGCAATCAAACTGTTTGATTGCGCATATAAATTCAGCTAGAGTATCTGGTCGTTGTTTCTTTCAAATTTCATTGTTTTTGATTCGATTTGCAAAAAGCTTTTGGATCGAACCACAAAGCTCAACAATTGCATTTAAGAGCCAAGCATAAAAGTGTGCTTCAAATATGCGAAAGGCGTAAAAATTTATTATTGAGCAATATACAATTTACTACTACTAATTTATACAAAGTACAAATGTTTGTAATATTGAACGGCAAAACAAAATTTGCTGGCCAATGACACTAATAAATTCAACTAAATATTTTAAATATGCGCATTATTTTTCGATTACAAAAATATTAAATTTTCACCTCGACTTATAAATACGCTGCTTGCATATTCATTAAATGTATATTATATTAAAAAAATAATTATTTAAATTTAATTTTTGAGTGTAAATAATTGTTTCATGTCAAATTAAAAAATATATAATTTTTATTATATTAATTATTAATAATTAAATTTAATTTCAAATTAAATTCCTCAATTTCATTGCGAACTCAAAAGATGCTTAAGAAAAAGAGTATTCAAATTTGTTCTGGGTTCAATAAACTCATTAACTAGCCCGCATTTAATTATCAATTGAACTTTGGACGTTTGTTTCTAAAATCTAGGTCATATACAATATAATGAATATTTTTTCACGAAACTATTCATCAAAATAAGAAAATGAAAGTATTTCGGTAACAAATAATGATTTTTTGTTTATTAAAAATATATACAAATAATTGTTTTTTTTTTTTAAATTTATAACACAATTGAAATATATATATATTTCTATATATATACACTATATATCGATAAATAAATACATTATTAACATATGTAGGCCTGGCTGCACGAGTACCAAATCCTGTTGAGTACAGTTCTATTTTTTTTGTGGATTTTTTTTTTTTTTTCAGTTTTTCGATGGCTTGTTATAGTTTTGCCTGCTGCTGGCGGCAAATGCATGGGAATGGGCGGGACATTAATATGGCTTTGGGGGGTTTTTGGGGCGGGGGATTTCAGAAAGTGTTGAGTGCAACACAATCCCTATGGCTTAAGATGAGAGCACAGCAATGTGAAAGGGAATGCTTAGTTCTTTTTGCGCAGCTCTTCGAGTTCACGCGCCTCCTCCTCCTCGGCCAGCTCGACCTCGTGCTCCAGCATGCGGATCTGATCACTCAGCTCCTTGGGCATTTTCTCCAGGTGCATGGATTTGATTTGAGCCTTGATGTCCTTGGTCATGTGGTTGATGCGGAAGCCGCGATGATCGAACAGAGGCTTATCGCCGTTAGCCTTGTGCTGCTCCTCCACGTACTTGAGAGCACGCGCAATGGCCTCGGGGATTGGTGGCGGTGTTGGAATGTGGTCACCCTCGGGCATGAATCCCCGATCATTTGATGCGTAGTTAACACGGTACAGTTTGCCATCATCGCCGGTGTATTCGTATACGCCCTTGGCGTGGGTGCCGCCGCCATGATGCAGCTTCGCCTGCTCCTCGCCATAGATGCCGTTCTCGGTCAGGAAACTGGAAGACGAAGAGCATGGGCCGGGTTAAATGCTGACGACTGGTGCAAGGGGCAGCTGCAGTAACTTACGCATGATCGTATTTGTCCTTCTTGCGGATCTCTTCCTGATGCAGAATCTTGTGGCCGCCCTCGTCGTCGTAGTTGAAGAGAATGGGGCGTTGCGTGGTCGTGGTTGTTGTCGTTGTTGTTGTGGTGCGTGGCGTGGTTGTGGTTGGCTTCTTCGTCGTGGTTGTTGTCGTCGACTGTGTTGTTGTACGGTACGTGTGTTAGAGTAACGAGCGCATCAGGAGTTTCATGCGTATGCGTGTGTGTGTGTGTGTTGTGTGGTTTGTGTGTATGCGTAGGGAGTTCATGCAGTTGGTGGAGTTCATGCAGCGCATTGGGAGTTGCAGGAAACGGGAGTCGGTTGTAGGTTAATGGCTTCTTGGTGTGTTATGCTGTTGTTGGTTTGAGTTATGAAAGCGTTGGGGTACGGATTGTGGGGGATCGCGGGGGTATCTCGTTTGTAAAACTGATCGAAAATACTGTTGTTTTTTTTGTTTTTTGTTTTTTGTTTTTGCTTTGTTTCTCATTTGTTTGTGTTGGGCATAGCTTTAGTATTCGATTTGTGGTTCATGGTCGGGAAAGCCGTATTCCAAGCGAATTTCGGGTATTTTAAACTCAGCTTTACTTACTGTGTACAGATCGTGGCTACGGAAGATATAGATATTTATAGTATTAGAGGTGAAATTCCCTTGATTGAAGTTTGGACTTACTTGTAAGGTCTGGCATCGTGCACATAGGGGCGATTGAGACCCGAATATGGTCCATAGCCGCCATCGTATGGATAGGGTATATGGTGATAAATGCCAAGTTCACGGTTATCACTCACATGACGATAAGGCTGCACATCGTGATGATAACGGCCAGCTAAGGATGAAAACCGAATTCAAATACTCTTAGAAATGAGTGTTAAATTATGGGTTGTATGTGTGAGTGTGTGTATGGGTTTTTGTGTGTGCTTGAACTTGTTTTTCGTATAGAAGTTCATTGAATTCTATTTATAGTACATTATCTACAAATATTTATATACAATATAGGTTAAACCATAACATAAATGTCCGAATAATTGAAAATATTTATAATGTGATTGTTTTTGTTTTGTTTTGATTTGTTTTTTTTTTTTTTTTTTTTTTTTACAGTTGATAAAGCAAGAAAGCAATTTAGCAACGACATTTTAAGATCGTTGATAACATGCATACAAGGAAGTGCTAAGCTTTGCCTCTTCCACGCTTGCTTACAATTATGATAATTTGAAGAAGAATTATGATAAAATCCTATATTATTTATAGTTTTTGTGTTTTTGTTTTTTTGTTTTTTTGTTTTTTTTTTGTTTTTTGTTTTAAATAAATGTTTCTGTGATGAGTGTGTAATTTGTCAAGAAAACAAATTGTTTTCTCAAATAAAAACCATTGTTATGTTTACCTAAAGAATCTGGATTACCACCTCGGCCTATAAGAAATTAAATGTTAATTGATATACATATACACATACAAGTTTATGCTAGAAGTATATAATACAATGAATTAGTGTGCGATGCAATAAAGCCAGCTCGATCGGTAAGACCAAAGATTATAGATTTTGAGTGCTCTGTGTTTACCGAAACCAGACGAATTTATGGCTTGAGCTTGAACTTTGTTATTATCACGACGCGAATAATTCAATTGGGTTATCAGTGAGTACAATACTTAAGATAAGTGTGTGTTATTGTTGTGTTAGTTATTGTTTTTGTTGTTGTTGTTGTTGGGTTCGTTGTTATTATTAGGTCAGGTGGCTTCAACATGCATTGCGGTGGCTGGATCATCATGCAACAGTTTGTGGTATCAAATTAGCAAATGCCTTCAAAAATACCTTCGTCTGCGGGACTCGGATGATACCGTCCATCATCATACGCACGATATTTGCCGTCGTTAGATCTTTCGGTCGAAACCGTATACTTGCCATTGTTATCAACGGGGTTGCTGCTACCAACTGCAACAAGGCCCTGAAAAGAAAACGAAAATCAAATTTATAGCTGTGGAATTTGGCATATCAAATGAACGCGGCAACTCCCAGGCCTTATTCACAGTTCAATTAGTCGGCCGGAAGTGTAAAAGGTAAGAAAACAACAGCGAATTGACACAATAAATGCCAAAAAGCACGCTCAGAGCTTCATAAAACGTTATGTGATGTTTGTTGTTTATGAAGTGTTTTATGACAGCTCCAAATGCCATTAATAAGGCCGTGGAAGATTCGACTTTGACTCGGCTGCAAATCAAAGCAACGCCTGCATAGCCCTGAGTTTGAGCTTTAACTGACTTGGCACGAACTTCAGAATATTTATAACCAGCTCTCTCTCTCACTGTATACTCTATATATAGATATACATATAGGTATACTAATTGAGTTAGGCGCCCCAGTGGCGTATGCATTATATCATTTCGAACTCGTATCCATTTCATTTAGCACTGATCACAATTTTTTTTGGACTGATTGAATTGATCCTCTTCCTCACATTACTCACCACAATCACACAAACGCTTAGCACAGATTTCGCGAACATTTTGCAAATTGAAATTGAGTTGTATACTCGATGGTGTTTTGATCCTTGACGATTATACTCGGTTAGTCCTGTGTGTGCTTGACGCTACTGCTGCTGCAACAGGAATGTTTGTGTTTCGCTGAGCTACACCGGATTTATATAGAAATGTGCCAAGTGCGTTGCGAGCGCATCTCGCCATCTGATTCTCACAGCCGCGCCTAAATTCTCGCTTGTCTGGGAGAGGTAGTTAGCCTCATTTACTCCTCGATTTGAGAGCGAACGCCGACGCAGACGCAGACGCAGCAGCAGCAGCTGAAGCAGCTGAGATACAGATACAAATACATATAAAGATTCGCTGCTTTGCTCAGGCAGTTCATCTCAGTTCAGTTCAATAACAGCGATGTCTTGAGATGCTCTCCCTTTGATTTAGACACATGACGGGTTCTTCTTGCTGTTGCTGTTGTTGTTGTTCTTGTAGTTGTTGTTGATATTAATTTGTATATTGTATATATTGTTTTTGTGAAATTATATTTTTTGTTTGCAGTTATTTTTGGCAATCGCTGAAATTAAGTATATGCTTTATTAAACTGCTACTCGATTTGCTAATAATTGTAATTACGAATTAATTCAATTAAATAATTCGTCTAATTTACTACCCCAAATGCGCATGCACCTTTGGCATTCAATAATTATTCATAAACCGTTTACGGCTTCAACTTCCATTGTACAGCTCATCTAAGAATTAATCAAGGATTCCAAGTCACGAAATGACGCATTTTATTTTTCATTTAAATGCGAACTAAATTTCCCCCTGGGCAAATCGTCATTCGGTTTCTTTCGAATATTTTGTGAGTAGCACCAGCAGCGAATCATTATCAAAATTAATTTAATTGCTGATAAACAAAGGTCAGATTCACAAAAAAAAAAAAAAAAAAAAAAAAAATACAATGAAAAATTGAAATATAATATTATATATATAGGTATGTATATATTGTATATATTTGTATGAATGTTATTTAGTCTGTAAAACTTTGCCATTATTTTGTATTTTGTGCGTCTTATTAAATGCATTAACACATTGTTGAAAACAATGAATGCTCATTCATTCGTTGTGAATTATATTACAATATATATTGCCATATCTTGTTAACAGCTAAAAAATTTATGATTTGAATAATAAATTTTTTGATAAATAATCTAATGAAATATCTATATCTCATGTAGTATATATATCAAAGTAAATTGATAAATATGTATTTATTAAACAGGTATTTGCAGTCAGAAATCTCATTTCTTATATGCACATGTATGTGTATGTATATAAATAATATATTTCATATTTAGTTTTCGATTCCGTGCAAAATGCCTTGCCTGAGTTAATTCTATATCTCGAAATGATCAATATAAATAATATTATATTACAACTTTTATTGTTATCAGTTCTATTATGCTTCTTGTTATCATTATTAATATCATTAACATTTATCATTGCCATTATTATTACTATTATTCTCCTTTTCTATAGAAGTATTAATAAATACTCCCCTTTTTTCATGAATATTATATTATATTATCCATTATCATAATAATATATTAAATTTACATATGTACATATATATATCTATATACATTATTATCTTTAATTCCTGTATTGCAACCATAGCATTAATTATTATACTGATTATTGATATTATAGACTAGCTTTCACATAGTTGTAGCATATTTTACAGTTCATCACTTTTAAACGATCTTGATTAAATGTAGCGGGACTTGCGCATATTGTTTATCACATCGTTGTAGTTGGTGCAGTCCCAAAGATTCGGAGTTGGGCTGATGACAACATCGTCTTGGCAGATCGTATCCAAGCCAACTACCTGAGGCACTCGGAAGCGCCATAAAAGTGCCGTAATGAAATCATAAATTAACCAAAAACAACGGAAATACTACAACAACAACAGCAACAACAAAAACAACATTCAGATATTGCGCGCGCCTGCCGCAATGCGAAATGCATTAATTTCGTCCAAGTCAGCGCTGAGGTTGGGACTGGGGCTGAGGTTTAAGGGGCTTGGGGCATGGGGCTTGGTAACGCAGCATATGGATATGAGAATATATATAACCGGAATTGAAATACGAAATCAGCAACAGACGTTGAAGAGAAATGTTGACAAAATTGATTTTAATTGCATACGCAAACGTTGACATCGACCGGCCGACGGGATGACGGGATGATGCGACGACGATGGTGTGGTATGTGTCCTTAGCTTAGCTTAACGGTGTTTTGAGAGGCTCCCAACTGGCCAGCTAGCCCCAAACGGGCTAGCTGCAGCTGCCGTTGCCAAGCATATCTTTTATTATGCGGATTAATTGCGACAATAAACATAAACAGTGATTAAGCAGCCGCAGCGACTATCCTGAAAAGGTGGGCGACGAGACGCGATGCGAGTGAGGGTGAGGCTGAGGCACTGCAAAGGTCGTACGATGAACCCGCCCGCTCAGCCAAATCGATCTGATCGGATCCGTTGAGATACAGCCCGAGCCGTTCCGTTCCATTCCGTACCCGAACACCAAGTGCCAACTCCCCAAATCCCGCGCACTGTGAATCACGTCGCGTGGCTGCTGTTGCTGCTGCTGCGGTTTTTTGACACTTGAATCATACTGTTATACTATATAGTGAGTATAATTATGGCATTCATAAAAATCACAAATACTTGATAAATATTTTAATATGCTTGCTTTTAATCAATTACAAGTCCAATTTGTTGATTGCGCATAGGGAATGTGGCCTTTCCAGACTTTGACTTTATATGCCAACTCGCTGATTCAGACTTGGCATTGAACTTGATGCACATACATACATACATATATACTGACTGAAAGTATTTTACAATTTCACAATTTCCAAGTAAACATCATATATGCAATATCGTATTAGTATAGATTTTATTCAATTGGAGTTTCTTAAAGCTACTTATTGGATTTGGCATGGAAACGGAATTGTTTTTATTATCTACAACATTATGTTCTTAAAGATACTTAAATGCAATTGACGAGACTTTTCTGCTACTAATGCTACTAATAATATTTTCCATTTAAGCTGACAAAGCTCAGAGGTCTGACTTATCGCAGCTTGCCTAACAGGAACAACACATATATGATTAAAGTTGAGGCGCCGAGGTCACGATAAGTCGCCGAATTGCACAAGTTTTGCCGGCAAAAGCAATGCTCGATCGTGGATGTCAGCATATTGTATGAATCAAACTGGGTGCAGCCCTCCTCGTAGGGCTCTTCTATGACTGCAATATCCTCATACTGTCTACCGACTAGTTTCGTTTCGATTTGAACTTGATTCGCACACCCTCGCTGCTCGATCGCCCATTTCTCTCCGTTTTGTAGGTATATCGTGCTCATTGTCTTTTGGCACATTGTCGAGTTTGGGCAGGGTGTTGTAAATTCGGGCGTTCTTTTCAGGTTGGAGCAGACAGGAAGTGGATTTGACCAAGAGCTCGAGCCGGGGCTCTCGTAGCACTCGTAGCAATAAAGTATCTCGTCGGCCGCGCAACTGCTGCACAGAACTGCAAGTACAGTGAAACTCGATATCAGTGTGAACATTATTATGTTGTGCTATGCTGATATGACGGCCCTCGATTCGCTTAGGTATAAGTACTACGAGCATTCAGTAAGAAGTCACAACACAAACTATATACATAGCTGTTCGCTCTGTGAGGTTTAACATTACGATTCTTACTCTGAATGACTAAACGTCCGGTCGGATATTTATTTTTCATTATTATTCAATTGTCGCTTATTTTTGTTCTGTGTGTGGTCGTTGCTTATAAGTTTAATCACTAGCAACTTTTTGTGGTTTTAATCTTAAAGAAAAAAGTTACACATAAAATATGCGTTTTGTTTATAAAAATTAGAATGATTGTTTTCAGGATTATTGGCATTCAAATAAGTTACAGGGTATTGTATAGTCGACCACCTTTCAAGGTGCCAGACCAGCGAAATCAAACGTGAATTATATACAGTTTTATTGAAAAAAAATATTTCTTGATGACTGAAAATCTAACTGCAAATTTTTCCAAATAAATATTGAAAATTTAATATTTATTTTTAATTATTGATAATTGTTTAATTTAATTAATTCATGAAATAATAAGATATAAAGCTATTATTATGATTAAAATATATTTTATTTTTTATATTTTAAGACAACATAATTTTTAATATTTTAATTGAGGAACTATAAAAATGTATAAAAACTACAACAAAAAAATATTTAAAATTTCTTTAAGTAAATCATATAATTATTCTCTTAATAAACAGTTCTGCTTCAGTTGATTTTACAGTGTTTACCATGGAGTTCAAACATTTTCGAGTTCCATATTGAACAGCGCGCCAAACACTTATGATAAATGCGTATTTTCACCTGCTGCGTCGACGTCAGACGACATTTGTGTAGCAATTGAAATCTTTATACGGTGAGTGTTGAGCATTGAGGTTTGGGCCATAAATTGCCATTACTCTGGGCGTGGGTTTTTCGAATTCATTGCAATAAGAATGTCAGCGGGATTTATATGTGTGTATGTGTGTGTGTGTGTGCTTCAGCCGGTTTTGGAGTTCAATTAAGTTTGTTTAATTATCACTCGCTCTATATATTCAAAAATATTTGTAGATATTCTGGCCCGGACAATGCCTATAAATATTGCCCAGCCAGCCATTAAGCGGGTTTTGGCAACCGCTGTGCAAATTGGTAGCCGTAACCGCCCAGCGCCTCAAATAGATGGATGACTCTCGGGTAGCAGTCGGTGTGTGCACGTTTAATGGCTTCAATTAAGACGCATGATTTGTGGCCGTTAGCCCCTTACATTTGTTCTTGCTAACAAATTAATTTAGAAAATACAACAAACACATTGTAAATATTGCCCGAGGCGTTATACGAACTGCATTGGGAACAATATAACAAATTGCCAGCTAAACTGTGGGACTTAATTAACAAATGCCACTTCTATATAAAAAAGCGTATATATGTATATATGTACACAGATATTTATGTATGTATTTACCAGTGAAGAACCTATAGGAAAAAATGACGCAAAGTTCAAAGCACCGCATCAGAGAGTTGATTCGATCCGATACGCTGAAGCTGGACTCGTAAATTTTGTAGAGCTTTCAATTTTGATCCTATCAGCAGGTGTTAAATAAATTGAATATTAATTAATGATTTCATGAGTGAAATAAATACCGAACTTACCATCTAAATAAAATAGCGGCTCGCGTAAAAGAGAAATTAATTTTGTGGTTTATAAAATTTCAGCTTTAAGGAATTTCAATTGCTTGTAAAGTTAAGTTCAAGGCTGCGGCTTTATTTTATAATCAAGGAATCACGTCGTGACGCCAAAAATAAATTTACATACATATATTTATATATGATTATGTCTAGGCCGATGGGCGCCACCGCAAAAATGCAATTAAATTATTTTTTTCTCATGCCAGAAAGCTCACAAATTCGGCAGCAAATTCATTCGATTGAATTTGTCATCCTAAGTGATGATAATTTGTGCACCGAAATGGAGACGGAGAGAGTTGAGGTTGCAGGTGTGTTCAGCACTGGGAGCTGAATAATTCGAAGTGAATTAATTACAAGCAACAAACACCAAATTACGCATTGTTTTGATTTGGCGCAGCCAAAACTCAACCGATTTACATGCAGTGTATATTTATGTATATGTATATGTATATGTATATCCAGTTGTATACGTGATATAAAATAATTTATTATTTGACAAAAGATTTCGCGTGAAAATTTGCATAAACAACAATTAAACAACAGGTTGTTAATCCAACTGACGATTTTTGGTCTTACTGTTCTATACTATAATTAACTCATAGCAAATATATTTAGTACATACATATTTCTAGTGATATACATATAGTAAATTGATATATAAATATAAAATTAATATGCCTTTACTATTTTAAAATGTTAATGAAGGGTAACAGTTTTTTAAGTATTTCCATTATAGTTATAAGAAGTGTTGTTTACCTCAAAACATAGTCATTAAAACTTTTTTACTAGACCGAAATAGTGCTCTTTAGTTCTAGACGCTTTTGTATTGAACCTGATATCCCATTGTCATGGCTTGCATCTAATCAACTCCTTATATACATTATCTACATCAGAGTATGTCATATTCGAATCAAGTTTAGCTGCTTTAAATAACAATAAAAGATTAAACAATATATATATATCAATAATTTTGTAGTCTAGCTGAAAACTGTCGAGCCGACAAATAAAGCCCCAGATTACATTTGATTGTTTTTATAGGGCTGGTTTAACAGCTTTGCAATTCATATTAACAAGATTTCAAGGTTTTTTTTTTTGTGGATTGTATTTTAAGGCATGTTTCATAGACATTTATGAAGCCACGCGTAAAGTCTAGAACGCGCAAGGTAAGAGGTTAAATGTGAATAGTTTGATAACATGACGGCTTTCGACTAATTTGACTATGACTAATATGACCCGGCAAGGCAAAAGGTTAAAGTTGATTCTTGCCCAAGTTCCGTTCCGTTCTATGATTAGTTCTGCTCGTTGTGGGCGGATCTCACTTTCGATTTCACACACAGAGCAACACGACTTAACTACTCACTCTTTGCACTCAGTCACCCTAAGCACATTTCGATTGGCTTTCAACATGTTTTTAATGCCCATGTTGAGACTGGCTGAGTCTGAGTGATTGATGAGTGCCAAGCGCCCATTTTGATTGATCGTTATGAGTGCCCATTAAGGCAAACGATCGTTTTATTGTTTATTATGAGCGTTAAATTTGATTTAAGCGACACTAATTAACTCTGATCCTATCAAATCCATTGAATTGTTATTTTGCAAATTGCCCGGCAGGCAAACAGATTCAGCTGCTTCAGCAGTCCACAGAGCTTCCGACAGGCGATTGGAAGTATTTACATTGGGTGTGGTGTTTGTTTTATGTGAATATTATAATATATATAAGCTGTTTATAGATATTTAATTTGAAGAAAGTTACAGCATAATACGAGATATTCTATCTAATTGCTTATATTCGTATCTATCTATTTTTGTATCTTTTACCTTCTCCATTTCTAAGGGAGAAACATGACTCAGCCACATCGGATTACCACGTACGACTGTGCGACATCTGTTCAATGGTTTCCGTTTTAAGATATTTTCGCTGCCGATCAAAAGGTCAGACGCAATTGGGCTAAGTGTAGGGAGGTGGGCGGTAGGCAGGCAATGGAAACGAGTTGGGTTGGTTAGATTGGGTTAGTTAGCCACTTTATGGCTTGTTAGTATGCAAAGAATTCCAATTAGCATTGCGTTACTAGCGCCTCGGCTGAGTGGCGTGTGCAGCGACTACCGAATAAACTAGGCAATTAAATAATTACACGGCTGCATCTTCAACATAAAACCTGACAATTAATTAGCTGGCAGTCGACGCCCGTCTGAGCTGAAACTAACCTGGCCAGTGATTCGATTATCTAGATTTAAACGCATTCAACTGTTTGAGAGATGTACACAGCATTGTTTGTTGTCTGCCTTCTGCTGCAGCTGGGCGCAGCGCCAGGATCTGCGGATGGAACTCCGCCGTTGCCCACGGCCTCGGCCAGGGGTCACTACGGCCACGGCGCCGTTGGCTGGTATCAGCCGGACAATAGCGGCAAGTATCGACACGAGCACAGGCCCTATAACGGCGGCTACGGAGATAGAGGTCAGCCGTATGCCAATGATCTGCGCGGCATCTTTAGGCAGGCCGAGCAGCAGCTGGCCGCCAGTGTGCAGGAGGCTGAGGAGAACTTTGCTCTGGGGCCGCGTGATCATCTGCGTTTCATGATCGACTTCAACTACAATGGCACCGGCTGGCAAATAATCCAGTTCGAATGGGTGCGAGACGCCGATGGCACAGCCGAGGATCAGCGCCAGTTCAGCTACGTCAACGAGAACAGGCTCTGGGATACCGAGCGTCAATCTCAATCCCAGCCAACTGGCGCCTACGCATATGAGCAGCCGCAGGCGGAGCCAGTGGGCGATCCTAACTGCGAGGAGCAGCCACAACAGCAGAGCTACGAGCAGTCAAATATCAATACAGAGAAGGATGTGAGTAAACAAATTTGAGTTTCGTTAATCTATTTATATATCTCTCATTTGCAGCCCCAGAAAGTGCAGTCAACGATTAATGAAGTTCTGGAATATATACAAAAACGAATCGTGCCGAATCTTAACTAAATGAAATGGAAGTTCAAATATTAAGAGGCAACACAATATATTTTGAAACAATAAAATTATGAAAAATGAAAAAAAATTCATGTTGATGTATTTTGTTGTATATACTTATTTAATGTATATTTTAAATATATTTTACACACATTTTATTGTTATATTAATACCTCAGTTTTCCCCCTAATGATGAATAGAATTTTCTTTTGGGATTTTTCGAAAAACTCTTTTATTTTCTGATAACCGAAATAACACGAACAAATGAATATATTTAATATTTTTTACAAGGCGCCCTGAGCCTTCAGATAGGCCAAGAGCCTGGGTATGTGCTCTGGTACTTTGGGAATATGTTCGCCGGCGGGCACAAATCCGTTCTCATCGGCCACGTAGTCGACGCGGTAGAGCAGGCCGTCGTCGCCTGTGTACTCGTAGTAGCCCTTGGAGCGTAGAGCATCGCCCTCCGTTTGCTTCTCGATGCGTCCGCTCTCTTCGCCGAGAATGCCGTTCTCGGTCTCGTAGCTAGAGAGAAGGCAGAGGCAAATATTCATCCATTTTCAGTGGAGTCCAGGGGCATTCGTGTACTTACAGATAGTTGTAGCCATCGGTATCCACGGCGCCCTCTTGGCGCAGAATCAGCCAGCCGTTCTTGCCAACGCCAGTGCCGCGTCCTTGTGGCAGATTGGGGCGCTGGTCTACGACGGGCACGGGGCGTGGCAGCGAGGGTTTCTTTGCAGCACCCGCACCAGCACCAGCACCAGCAGCAGCCCCAGCGCCAGCTCTGCCGTTGGCATTAGCTCCATTCGCTGCGTTGGCTGCACCGCCACCACCACCACCTCCACCACCGCGACCAGCACCACCGCCAGCACCAAACTTGTCCTTGCCACCGCGGTAAGGATCATTGCCACCGGTGTAGTCGCCTCCAGGACGATTGTCGTGCTGGTACTTGTTGTCCACGTGCACATAGCGTCCGTCGTTGTTGCCGCCATAGCGTCCATCGTTGCCGCCGCGATATTTGCCATCGTCGCCTGGCACATAGCGGCCGTCGTTGCCGCCCCGATAGCGACCAGCGTTGGCAGCAACTCGGGTGCTCAGGGCGGAGATCGGCCTGGGGGCAGGACGATAGCGGCCGTCGTTCTGGGCCAGCGCCACGGCGGCGCAGATGAGCAGCCAAATCTGCAGTTGTGACAGACGTGAGACATGGATGCGCTTCTGGCATCAGCGAAACGCGACGCAGCTGAACTCAGCTCGACTTACCGTTAGACGCAGCATGTTTAATCAGCAATGAGAAGTTTTAGCCACTGTCAGAGCTTTATATATGAGCTATACGCAACGCCCACGGGTCCGTCCGCGGATGATCCACTCGCTCGATGTGTGCTATGGCCAACTAGCCAGCGCTGCGTCTCAACGGACAAACAGCATTTGCACAAAGCACTCAAAACTAGATCTATTAGCAGCTCTGATTTATGTGGCGTTGACTACATATTTTCTGGAAAGCAGCTCCGGCCAACAAGCAGCAACAAGGCGGATGAGCTATTTTTCTTATGGATGCTTATTGAATTAATTTTATGATCGACATCGATGACGATGAGCGTCATCGTCACGGAAACGCTGACATTTCTTTTGACACCGACTAATTTAAGCAAGCATTGGTCTTAATCGCTTTCATGTGGACCAACAGCACGAAATAGCTGAAGACTCGCTTCGCAGAACACCAGAAAAACCAGTTGGTTGGCAACTTAACTCGAATGCCTGAAAGTATGCTAGGCTCTGGCTGAATGAAATTCAAATGATTGAAGCGATTTGAATGAACAAATGATGACATCAGCATACAGCATGGCTTTGTATTTAATATTATAAATTTTATTTTTAATATAATGCAGTATAAGCGGATAGATGGGCAGCGAATCTAGGCCAGATCACAGTTAATCTGGATATCAGTAACAATAGGTGATTTAAATTATATTTTATTAAAATATTTTTTTTTTCAAACACATTAATTAAAATAAAACTAACATTTATTTTTCGTATGCCACTTCTTAGATGGAGTAATTGTAACGTAGCAAACATATTTTTATAATATAGTAATATGCTACTAATAATTTACTAATATACTAGCACACAAAGGGGTTACTAAACTACCCCGTATGACTTTAATAAATCAAAATATCAAAAAAAAAAAAAAAAAAAAAAAAAAAAAAAATAATATACTACTACTGATATTCTAACATACTACTACTAATATACTTCTACTAATATATTCTATTATTAATACAAAAGACTAACATTGAAGCCTCATAGATGAGTTGCAGAGTTAAAGTAAACTCACTCGGCTAGCTCAAATTAATAGTAATTAATAATGATAAATTTATAATAAATTTTGTCCACAATTTTTAGAAAAATCTTATAAAGAGTAGTTTTTTTTTATATTTTTGCATATTTATTTACATGTGCGGAAAGGGATTTTTTGTTTTATATAAATGGCTTAACAATTTTGGTTAACAAACATTTTCACGTTGTCTCTGTGCCCTCGCTCACTCACTCCACCTCTCTGTCTCTCTGTCTGTCTGTCTGTCTCACTTGCTGTTAGGTTAGCCTCGGCGTGCGGTGTAGGCGCTCTGCTGATCAGCGGGTGGCGGTGGTGCTGTGGCTATGTAATCCAGGGCCCTCTGAATGGCCGGTGGTATGGGCGGAGCGGTGGGCAGATGATCGCCCTGTGGCTGGAAGCCGTTCTCATCCGCCACATAGGTGATCCGTATGGGCGTGCCGTCGGGCGCAGTGTACGAAAAGAAGCCCTGTGCGACCTTTAGCCCGGCGCAGCAAAGAAAAGCGAAAGCAGCAGCAGAAAAAGAAAAACAGATTCAGCTAATTACAATACCTGTACAATTTGTCAGCATCAAGCTGCAAGCTCGTGAGGGAGCAACAGTTGCAAATGCCAAATGGCTTTGGGGGGTCTGCGGTAGACCAACTCACCGGTCCTGCATTGTCGGTGCCCGCATTCTTGAGGTAGCCCTCCTCCTCCACATTGATGCCGTTCTCTGTCTCATAGCCATACTTGTAGGAGCCGTCGAAGTTCACCTCCTGCTCCTGCCGAATGATCTTGATGGGCTCCGTGGCAGGTCCTTGGGGTCGCGCATGCACCTTGCACAGCAGCACTGCTGCAATAGTCAGCAGCTGGCAGAAGATAAGATGAGTTACCACCGTGAGGCAAAAGACCGAAGAGCTTCGCACTTACAATGTATTGCATTAGCTGGGCTTTAATCCTATGCTGGGCTCTGGACTGGCAACTGTCAGCGTCGCGATGTGCAACTGTGGCCAGCTCTGCCAAAGGTTTGCATATTTATAGCAAAATCTTGCAGCCTGCATCGTTGCGAGCAGTCGAACCGAATGCTGAATGCTTGAACTTTACAGCTGCCGGGTCTTGCAGCGCTTGCAGCAGAGCGAGTCTCGCTTCGGCTTCGGCTTGGCCATTGGTGGGTGTTTAGCATTTGGCAGATGCACACAGATCAGAAGCCAAGCTCACTAGAGACACAGCCAGGCCACATCTGATTATATCTTTGGCGACTGCTTCAAGTGCATTGTTCGCGTGTTGTTGTTAACTCTGCAATTTGTCGGCTAAATTGCTCACAGCCCATAGATCTGACGAGGCGCCTCCATAGAGGCTTCTGTCGAGAGTCTTAAGAACGTTCACATAGGGGAAAATAAATGCAAATGAAATGCGAGTCGCTTCACACTAAAGGTAATTGAGATATGTAGCTGAATTAGTTGTGTAAGTGATATATATGTAGTTATTCCAATTAAATAGAAAAACGGAATAAAAGTTAAAATATATAGATTATTATTATTGTAGAACAAAAAAAAAATTTGAAAAAAAAAAATATTTTTATATTTTTAATGTATTAATAATAATAAGTTAATAAGTTAAATATATTAAAAAAAAAAAAAGAAAACAAAAGGAAAAGCTAAAAAAAATATATATATGTAAAATTAAATATATATAAATATAAATATAAATGAAATATACATAAAAACAAATCAAAACTAAATATATAAATATATAAAAAATTTGTGATAAATAAATAAAACATATATATAAATTACAAAAATGTAAAAATATATACATTAATATTTTTTATCAAATAAATATTTACTTTGCATTAGACATATTGATGACTGTCATGCCAGACGTTTCACTGTACTGAGTGAATGGAGCATGAATATATATTATGGTCAGTTTTTGATTGAGTATGTTTATCGTGAATAAACTTGCATCGTGGCATTCAAAGAACACGTCTCGCATTTCAAATCAATTTGTCAGCTACATTTGTAAAGACTTCGCCTTTGGCTTTGCCTACATATTCTGATGTGCCACAAGAAATCAAATTGCGCAATGGCAGTTAATGCAGCCAGCCTCCCATCCCATCCCATCCCATCCGCCCGCATTAACCAGATGCAGTTGGCGATGCAAACCGGCGAGGGCGGCAGAAGCATCATCATTATACGAATAGCAGTATATACTTCGACTAGTGCAGATTGTTGCCCCACCACCTGACCATGATCATGTCTAGCTGTCGCTCCACATGACCTTTGTTGGAGGCGGCGAGTCGTGCTGAGTTTTGACCAAAGGCGTTAATGAGCCCTCATTGGCTCATTGTGACTCCGGCTTGGGCTTGGGCAAGACTTGTGAAACTGCCATTTACTCGCCCCAGACTCACTCACTCTGCTGCCGCACTAAATGCAAATGAAATAATTGATATTGTGTTTTTGGTTTTGTTTTTGTTTATAAATTAAGTTTAATTGTATTTTCACATTTTAACGTTAACAGTATTTGGTTGAGGACGACGTCGTTATCGAGCTGGATTCTCACAGCATACCCAGCTTATCCTTTCTTGAAGAGCATGGACAGGAATTGGTGCTTGAATGGCTTGGGGGTTGTCACATCATCTTCGTAGTAGTAGTAAGAGGACGGATAGGAGGATTGATACGATGGATACGATGGATACGATGGATAGTAGTAGCTGGAGTAGTCGTAGCTGGAGGGACTGAATTCACCGGTGCCCTGTTCTTTGTAGACGTAATCGACGGCCGTGGTTTGCGCCTGCACCGATGCAGCTAACGCGCAGACCACCAATAGAACCAAAGAGAACTTCATTATGTCTGTCTGTCTGTCTGTTATCGAGCTTTCCCTGGTTGTTCACCAAATTGTTGCTGCAATTGAACTGTGTCTTCCACTGCCCCAATGCGCATCTTTTATACGGATCGCACGGGAAGAGTCAAATATCTGGTGCAGCTATTACAACAGTCTGTTTGCTGCTGTTTGCACAAATGTTTGCCACGCCACGCCACGCCAGTTTAAGAAGTTCTATTCAAACTTAAATATTTATTCCGCGCTCGTTATGAAACGCTCAACGACTGTTTGAGCTGCAGCCCAAATTGAGGGCCTTTTGTTTGCTCTCAAACAGAATGCAACCAGCTTCTGTCACGGAGGGGGGAGGAGAGGAGAAAGAGAATGGTTCGATTGCATTCACTTGACGTTTACATATATTTTGCTATTAGTCCAAAATTATAAAAACAGTAACTTTTAATAGATATAACGATCGTAAGAAGTTGGCCATTCCACGGCGTTTACAAAATCTGGAAACTCTTTTATAAACTGTGCGCTTAGCGCATCTCGCTTGTGAACGTGGCTCAGATAATGGCCAGCGATGCCAATTTCGAAAACGGGTTCATTGAACTTGCCATTGGTCTTCTGCAAAGGGAAAGCGTTAGCGGACACACGTAATATTATCTGGTTTGGTCTGGGTAATACGCACCGTCAACTCTACGTAGAACTCGATGGGTGAGCTGTCGGCGCCCCAAGTGAAGGTGATCTGATACGGCGGCTTGTACTTGGCCGGGCTGTCGAGCATTCCCCGCAAGAACGACCAGTCCACCATCTTGACCCCCTCCAGGGGCATCAGGTGTATGGTCATGCGAGCGGGCCCAGCCAGCTTGAAATCGTAGCGAATCGAGTAGCCGCTATTTACGATCGTCTTGTTCAGCAGCTCGAGAGTAATGTCCCCGGGCATTTGGACGGGCTGCATGCGTGGCAGCCAGCGTTGAGTGTCGCAGGGCAGGCCGCACCTCATTTGACAGTCGCACTTGTCTGCGATGCCCACCAAGCCGGTGAGGTCCAGTTTGTCGCGCAGCGGCTGCTCCTTACGATGGTCCTGCAGGCCGAAATAGTAGCCGGAGTCCTCCTGGCTGAGGGACCCATTGTAATCATAAAATTTGCGATTCACTTGCTGCACAGACAAAGATCTCTGAATTGCCATGATCGTGGCTATTAATGAAGTAGTAAACTTACCAAGAAATTCAGACGCATCACATTCGTTCGGGGGCGATAGGGAAAGCCCAACTCTGAAACGGATACCAGGACAAATATAAAGGTCGTGCATGTCATAATGCTAATAATTATTACAGGATAACGAAAAACATTTATGAGTGGGACCTAAAGGAAATAAAATGGATTTAGACTAAAATTCATGAATATTTGCCTCTACGCAGCTCACCAAGAAGCCCAAAGCCAGAATAGTGCCCGCAGCACAGAGAATGGCAATCGGCAGATCCGGATTCGCCGTGGTGCCGGTGCGGCCCGTCAATGGAATGTAGATGACCAGACAGGCGTAGAACAAGTAGCTGAAGTACAGGAATGGTATGGCCTGGCAGGCGCACAGCACGAGCGACCAGAAGTAGCCTAGAGCGGAGGTGAAACTTTGATAGAGTCGGAATCGATGCGGATTAGGATTGGCAACATACCGCGCTCATGCAGCCTGGTGATCATATTGATGCACAGTGCCCCCACATAGAAGAGCAGGGAGATCATCAAGAGGTAGGCGCTGCGCACACTCAAGGCGGTCAGCATAATGCACAACAGGGCAAAGAAAATGCAATGGGCATGGCCGGCTATCTGCAGGCGATAGTTGGATGGAATGCGCTTCTGCAAGAGAGAGAGAGAGAGGTATTTGCAATGGATCAGCAGGAAACTCTTCCAACTCGAGCACTTACGCTACTACCGATGATCAAGTAGATCGTCACGGGCAGCACCAGGCCAATGATCGACGGAATAATGTAGAGTCCAATGACCAGCCAGCTGTTCGTGAAATAGGTCATCGTCCGGTTTCCGGCATCGTAGAACGTCGCGATGAGCATGGGCAGGCCCAGAGCCAGGCCAAACGACAGCAACTCCATGAGAAACATAACAGCAAACTCCTTGGCCACGGTGCCAATGTCAATATCCAATTTGTTTGACATGTACCATAGAGAGAAATACACTATGATAATGCCACCCCCACCAAAGCCGATGTTCAGGAAAATGGCTGTGGACTCCAGATAGGAGACGAAAAATAGACCCAAGAAATCAAAGTAAACCGAGCGCCCCTTAGCGTGTGCCTGAAATTGTATATGGAATGTTTGAGAGAGGAGAGAGAGAGAGAGAGAGAGAGAGAGAGAGAGAGAGAGAGAGAGAGAGAGAGAGAGAGAGAGAGAAATATTAATAGCAATCAAGAAGACTCTGGACGGGATTGTTGACTAGGGATCCCCCTTTGAACTCCGAATGATGAAAATATAAATATTTAAAATTCTATTACAAGTAGTTTGATTACCTTGACATCAAGCATCTCCTTGGCATTGCTAATACTCTTGACCAGGGACAGCAGATTGTCGCCGGTGCTTTGCAGCGAATCTCGGGATATGACATCGAAGCGATCGTATTTGGTGTGGTAAACGAATCCATTGTATTGGACCACCATATCCAGACCTGTGAGGGAGATTATTATTGGAGTGGATTCAACGAGTTGCTCCACATATTCGCTCACCCGGCAGAGGACCGTAATCGCGGAAGATTCTAAAGTCCGATTTGGAATTTATAATGCCCGTCTCGAATATTTCCTCTGCCAATGTTGTTCCAAATGGATGCTTGGCGGCGGCTTTGTAGTGCTGCGAACAGGTGTAAACAGGTGTAAACAGGTGTTGGCTGATAAGATTGGCGAAACTGATATTTGGATATGAGAATCATATCGCCCCGTTGATCTGATAAGCGAGTGCCGTGAGTGTGGAGCAGCATTGGCCCAGCTGTAATTATTGACGATGGTTTCTACTTACGCGTATTAGCCACGGATGAAACGGACCGGAACGGAGGAGCAACTCACGACCGCCAGCTCCAAGCGAATCCACATTGATCATTGCCCTGGGAACGAGAGTTAGGAGACTGCTCATGCGGATGGCACACTCAATTCGCACTCACTTGCAGCTGGGGGACCATTTGTGCTGTGTGATGAATGCGTGCGATCCATGCATCTCATTCTCCTCGGCGCCATTGAAGAGGAAGATAAGCGGATGCTCGAACGACTCGCTGGATGTGGCCAGTTGGCGCAGCACCTCCAGCATGATGACCACCATGGAGCCAGCATCTCCCGCACCCACGCTGCCAACCTTGGTGTCGTAGTGGCTGTTGATGAGCAGATAGGCCGAACTGTTCGACTGCCTAGGGGTCAGTTTGACGATCACATTTTGCACTGCCTGATACATAATGATCGAGTCGACGGCCAGATAGGAGCCCGATGCCCGCTGCACATCCACCTCCAGATTGTAGAGATCGTGTCGCATTTCCCGATGGACGCTGTCCATTTCCCTCAGCAGAAACTCAATCATTGTCTTCTCGTTCATCTCATCGCCGATAAGTTTGGGTCCCAGACGGTCCAGTTCCAGCAGAAGATGCTGAGCCCGCTCCGACACAAACTGTCCCGGCTTGTAGAGCTCCTCATCAATGTTCACCGGCTTGGGCATAGCATTGTAGAGCGGATAGGCCACAGCAAAGAAGAGAGCGGGCCAGAGCAGCAGGAAGCTGGACGCATGGTACCAGGGCAGCTTCTCCTTCACATGACTCTTCTCAGCCAGGTCAATGGCAGAAGTATCCATGCTTGCCGAAATTTCCATCAGTTCCACTGGCAACGACAAATTCTTACACCGTATTTAAACAAAAAATAAAACTTATTCTAAACAGCTTTACTATATAATAAAATTTATATTCGTTGTGAGTTCCAAGGCTTCCTATGTGTGCCTCTTCGCTTTCCATGACTAACTGAACGGATCAGATTGCTAGCAGAGCTCAAATTGATAATTCTCAGCAACTGTGATTTCATATTTATGATGTACAATATACAAATAAATCTGGAATTGCTTCAGGTTTAGCATTTGAGATTTTATCAAGTTACGTTGTTAATAAGGTAGATTTATAGCTTCTACCACTTGGCATCCGTTAATTGAGCTTGATATCAAAGAGGTTGGTATTTGGATTCTGTTCTAGTTATAGGCATACAAAAGTCATAAATATTTATTAAGAAAGCGAATGCCGAATGAGATTTGATAACCAAAAGGAATATTCATAATATTCATAGATATTTCAAATGAATGTATTATTTAAAATTTATTTAAAAGAAATAATTTTTGATATCCTTTATGTATGTTATTTATATAGAATATATTTAGTTTATTATTTGAACATTAAACTTAAGACTTAGTTATAAATTAAGTTAGCTTAGTATATGTAACGCTTATAGAGCGTCGGCCACTCCATCACATGGACAAAGTCTGGAAAGTCGGCTATAAACTGCTTCCCAGCCGCATCCCTTTCATAGTCGTAGCTCACGTAATGCCACGCCACGCCCAGCTCAAAGATGGGCACATCGAAATTGCCAGCAAGTTTCTAAAGAGAAAATGTTAATTGAATTTAGAAGAAATATCAAATATTTATAGAAACTCACAGTGAAATCAATGTGAAATCTAAGGGGAGAATTGTCCTTGCCATAGGAGAAGAATATCTGATAAGGCAGCTCGTACTCTTCCGGCTCGTCCAGCGGATTTCGGATGAAGGACCAGTCCTCAACGGTTACGCCCTCCAGTGGCTGTATGAACAAGCCCATATGAGGTGGCCCACTCAGCTCGAATTCGTAGCGCATCGTGTTGCCCGTGGGCAAAAGGCTTTTACTCAGCAGCAAGAGGGAGGAGTTGCCGGGAATGATCACCTCCTGCTCTCGCGGCAGCCAGTTGCCCGTCTCGCGCGCCTTGCACCAGCGGTGATTGAAGCAGGGCACGCCGCACATCAATTCCGTATCACAGTGCTCCTTGATGGCAGTCAGGCCAGTCAAGTCGAGCGAAGTGTCCTCGAGCGGATGGTTGAGCCTTCGGTCCTGGAAGTCAAAGTAATAGCCCGAATCGCTTAGGCTAACGCTGCCATCAAACTCGTAGAAGACGCGACGCACATGCTGCCAATCAAAGAATATGTTTGATAAGAAATGTGTATATTGATATGTACAATATATAAAGTCCAACTTACCAGAAAGTTCACACGCATCACACTGGTCTTGGGTCGGTAGGGAAAGCCCACACCCGAAATGGCAATCATGCTGAATATGAAAGT